ACCTAAAATCTGTCACATGAATTAAACACGTGTAATCCTTATGATCACCTGTTAAATTATGGACCAATAAAATTCGGAGGAGACTAGTATAAGAGTCTGTACCCCTATAAACAGGATAAAATTCTATACCAGGGGCATAGGATAAGGGGATAGGATAAGGGTCCTCCTAATAATAACCAAAATCACGTGATTTGGCATGAATTATACAATTCGCGGATCATCCATCGATCTAATCAAGATATTCATCACCAAATTGCTATTGTGCTAGAATTTGTTTTAGATAGTTATCATTTAAAATATAAAGTACTATTTCTTTTAGTAATTGTTCTGCATATGTATATTTATTTAACTTTTATAATACCTTTATAATTATCATAGTATTCTCCAAGTCATGCATTGGCTTCATTTTCTATATTTTTAAACAATTCAATTGATCGCATAATAACGTCCCAAATTATGTTGTGCCGTTGGGATGATTCATTTTTTGTCTTTATTCACACCTATATCATAACTGCCATAACAATACTTATTATTCATTGCATCGATATTTCCAACAAGAACATTCTTTTTCGCTTGTTCTTTTCTTGAGACACAGTTAGTGAATTACTACACCAAAGGTTAACTTTGTGATTAAAAATGTGTTAATAAAACTAATAAATGAATTCAACCACATTAGGTTTTTTTTTTTTTTTTTGAGTTATATTTAAAGAGAATTTACCACGCAAAATTTCCTATTTCAATCCTTCCAATCATTTAGGAAAATTGCAAAATTGACTTTAACATATGAATCGGAAAGTATTAAAATCTTTCTTTGGAAGAATTTTTCTCCTTCTTCGGTTAAATTTAATAGAAATTTTGGAAGTTTTAATTCGCATCCTTCTTTAACTGTCTAATAATATACATAAATAATATAATAATTAATAACATATGTATAATATAATACAGTCAGACTTGCATATAAAAACCTATGCTAATTAATGTTTCCTTGTAATAATTGTAATAATTGAAATAATTGTCATAATAGTTGTCTTTACTTGTTGATAATATTATTACTTAGACGTTTAGAATACCCAAAGGAAGAAGCTTATCTTTTTATTATATTCGTATGTATTATTTTTTTTTGATTTTTTTTTGAAAATATTAATCGATAATTTCCAATTGATTTTCACTTTTTCAGTTGAATTGTTTCTGATCATATTTTCGAAACAATTCAAAATAATTTTTGTCCCAAAGTTTGTAACACAAGAATTCAATAAATATAGCGAATGTTCTTGGATAATCTAATCTGTTATTCTCTTCGTTATGACTTCGTATCCTCGAGTAACTCGAAATATAACTTTAGACCGTTGTGATAAATTTACTTCCAAAGATTTTTTTTCGGATGTAAATTTGTATTCAAATCTTTATAAGAAACGTACCGACTCGGAAAATTTTATTAAATTACAAGTATATAAAGTTCCTCAACTTTTACGAATAACTTTTGAAGAAGCAATAAGAGGCAATTATGAACCTGCTAAACGGGGCGACTCTTTTGGACCAAGTTGGGTTAGTATTATATAATAATTATTTTTTGATCATTATATTGATGATGATTAATTATTCCTTTTGTGAAAAAATTAAAAGAAAAGAAAATTAAAGAATTATTTTTATTTTAGTCTACTCAATGGTTTCATATACATGTGACCATTCCCAGAGATTGGAAAGGTGAAGAAGTACAATTCTTATGGAACGCAAATAATGAAGGAATGATTTGGACCGTTGATGGTACTCCTCTTCAAGGACTTACGGGAGGAGGTTAATTTTTTTTAAATTTCTTTCAAATTTTATTGAAAATTATTTTTTTAAATTTTTTATTTTTTCAAATTTTTTTATTTTAAATTTTTTATTTCAAATTTTATTTTTAGGTGGTAATGACCGTCGCGTTGAGTATATTCTCACCCATCAATCGAACGGAGGAGAATCATTTGAATTCTATTTAGAAATGGCTTGTAATGGTATTTTTCTATTATTTTTTTTATTTTTCTGTTACTTAAATTTATATTCAAATAAAATAAAATAATGATTACGTTTATTATGTATTAATTACTTATCAATTTTATAGGAATGTTTGGTAATGGATTAAATGGATTAATTAATCCACCAGATCCAAACAAATACTTCACTTTAGAACAAGTAGAAATAGCTATTCCCAATAAGAAAGCTTGGCAATTATTATATGATTTTCAAATTATTCTTGATATCGCTAAAGAACTTCCTCATGATAGTTCAAAAGCAACTCAAGCCTTATATGCAGCCAATAAAATAGT